GCAGGCAGGTGGCTGAGGGCTGCTGGGCGCCCGGGGCGGGGGGCAGGCAGGTGGCTGAGGGCTGCTGGGTGCCTGGCGGGGGGCAGGCAGGTGGCTGAGGGCTGCTGGGTGCCTGGCGGAGGTGGCTGTGCACCTGTTGACAGCGGGCGCTGCCACTGCCCCGCCCACCGTGCAGACAGACACAGCCATGCCACCTGGCAGCCCCGGACACCCTGGTCTGTCCCTGTGACACCCCCTGTGCCCGAGCCCACGTGGCCCCACAGGTGGCGCTGAGCAGACAGGGCTGTTCAGGATGGGCCAGGCCCAGCAGCCCAGGAGGACCCGTTTGGGGGAGGGGGCCCCAGGGGTAAGCATGGACTAAGTGAGCAGACTCCCCCGGCCCCACGTTCCTTCCAGGTGCCACGGCCACTGGCAATGAAAAAAGAAAGTATCCAGACACGGAAACGGAAGCCCAAGAACACAGCCAAGACCAAGGGCTCCCCAGGTGTGGAGTGCGTGGGGTCCGGCCTCCGGGGGGCGGGGCCTTGGCTAGCTGTGGTGAGTGGGGTGAGCACGGTGGAGGAAGCCACGCCAGCCCCCACCCCGGGCGTGCTCTGTGATCCCAAGGAGTCTCCAAACCTCCCTGGGCCACGTGGCAGGAAGTGTGGCCAGATCTGGCATCTGCTGTCTGTGAGTACCCCACCCCCTTCCTCCCAGGATCCACAGCGAACATGACAGCTCCCCCGCCTGCCGTCCCCAGCACAGACAGCTCAGCCGCCACTTTGAAAACAGAGGCCAGCCTGGCGTCCCCCACGTGTTCCGGGCCCAGCATGACCTCCCAGGTAACAAGGACGTGGGGCCGGGCCCCAGAGAGCCCTGGCTGACTTCTTGGCCAACCCAGGCCTGGTGGGAACCCCAGGGGCCCTTCCTGGAGTCAGCCTCAGCCGCCAGTGTGACGCCCTTCCCGTGAGCCTGCTGCGTCTGCAGCCAGAGCCCCGTGCGGGAGGCTCACCGCGCTGGGAGGCGGTGCCACCTCTGCATTCTAACACCCGGTCCTCTCTGCAGGCATCCGGCCAGGTGGATGACCCCCTGGCCCCCAGCCACCTGGAGTTCAAGTTTGAGCCCGAGGACTTTGCCTTCCCATCCACAGCCCTGGGCCCTCAGGACGGCCTTGGAGGGGCCCCGCGCCAGGACGCCTGGTGTGCACTGGCCTTGGCCTAGGACCCCCTCAAACTAGCACTGGTGCAGCGTCCCCAGAACAGCCCACATCCACCCCTGCACCTGCCTCACTCCAGCACGGCAGAGACGACCAGGCCCATGGGAGAGCCGACCTCCCAAAGGAGCCACAAGTTCCACAGCGTGGCACTTTGTGAACTGACCAGAGCAAGAAGATGGCTGGGGAAAGGTCTTGCGGCCCACATGCACAGCTAGGGGCTCCCTAAGCCCTGCAGAAGCCTCTCTGCTGCCCTCAACCACCTGAACTCTTGCTCCCGCTCACCATCCACACCATTCCAGGTTGTGGTAGGTGTCCAAGCAAAACAAAACCCGAGGCAAGGAAGGCAGCAAGGTGAGGGGCGAACACAGGCCTCCCCGGACCCCAAGGTCCCCACATTGGCTGGAGGGAGCCATGGTGCAGAGCGCTGCTCCTTCGAAGGGCACAGGAGGGCCAGGCATGTGTGCAGGTTGCACACTGAACTGACACCACCCTCAAGGGAACGCCGTCCACCTTGCAATCATCATGAACTTGTGTATTTATTTCGATGTTTATTCCAGAGAAGGCCATGAAGGGCCTTGTTCTGATAGAACCCTTTTGCCGTGACCATTGCTGGCAGGTAGCAGAAAGCGTCTGCAGGCCTTGTTGAGCCCCACGCAGAGTTTGGGGGTTGCAGTGGAGGTGGCAGGGCCTCAGAGCTGGCTCAGCTGGGACTGTCAGTCAGGCGGCTTTCCCAGCAGACCCCTCCCGCAGCAGCCTGGTCCTCCAGCTCTATCTCGGCTGGAGCTTAGCTGCGGAGGACCTGATGCTGGGGATGCGGAAGGAGGGGAGAGGAGGGGAGGGGGCGTCCTTGGGGGCTACACCCATTGATTGCTAACTTTCTCCAGCAGGACATGATTGTCCAAGGGAGCCAGAAACATGGACTTTTAAAATGTGATGCCTTCTAATTCAGTGCTTTAAAACAAAAAACAATTCCGTCACCATGATTTTAGCAATCTTTTGAATACTGCCAGCCGACAGCACAGCGGCAAGCCGGCCCCTAATGCACCTCCCATTTAGAGCCACACGTTCAGCTCAGTCTCGGGACAGGGCCTTTGTGGGGAGAGTGGCTCTCCGTGGGGCCTGAGGCCCGGAGGGCGCGTGCGAGGGGCTGCGGTCAGCCTCCAGGTGCCCTGCGTGAGGTCCTGGGCTCGGGGCAGGAAGCCAGTCGGGCCGCTGCCCTCTGCGGTCACCAGCCTGGGCGCTGTGCACAGGCACAGCTCTTGCTGCAGTTTGCTGAGGCCCATTCACGAGTGATGAGGCCAGGTGAAGAGAGGTGAAAGGCTCACTCAGCCTGAGGGGACTGGGGACCAGGACTGCCCCTGGCCGCCACGCCCCCTTCCTGACCGCCACGCCCCTGGCCTGGCTTCCACGCCCCTGTCCTGACTGCCCTTCCTGACCGCCACTCCCCATCCTGACCGCCACACCCCCGTCCTGGCAGCCATGCCCCCATCTTGACTGCCATGCCCCCTTCCTGGCTGCCACGCCCCCTCCTGACCGCCACGCCCCCTGCCTGGCATCCCCTTCCTGACCTCCACGCCCCCGTCCTGACTGCCACGCCCCCTGCCTGGCAGCCCCTTCCTGACTGCCACGCCCCTCCTGGCAGCCACGCCCCTCCTGGCAGCCACGCCCCCTCCTGACTGCCATGCCCCCTTCCTGGCAGCCACGGCCCTCACACCCACCTCTGGCCCACCTGGGTCTCACGAGGGGGTACCGCCCCGTTGCCCAGTGCCAGGGCCCCGCAGGCCTCGGGCGGTCCACCGACGGTCCACAGTGCCATGAGGATGATCGGCCTGGTCAGACTCGGGCCTGCGTCTCTGGGGAGTTGAGACCTGCCGCACTCAGCACCCGGCCCCGGCGGAGGAGCGGCATCCGTTGCAGTGGAACAGCTGGAAGGGAAGAAGGTTTGGGCATCAGTCCGTCATGGTGGGGAGTGGAGCAAAAGGGGACAGGAAGGGCCCGATGCACCCTCGGGGACCCACCCCGAGACTGGCCCCCTCCTCCGGGCGCCCTGCCATGCACACCACCCGGAGCACCGTCCACAGCGCCCAGAGGGTGAACTCCCCCGTGAGGTGACAGCCCTCAGCATCTGTCTCTGGCAGGGTCCCCAGACACCTCCAGAGGGCCTCACTAGCCTGGGAGACCATCAGTCCCCCAAGCCGACCACCACGAGCCCGGAGCCCGCTGACCGCAGCCATCACAGTCGCTGGTGGGAAAACCCCGGCAGCCCCTTCAGCCCGGCAGCGGCAGCAGGAGGCTGGAAGGAGACAGATCTCGGCTCAGACACAAGCCAAAGCGAGAACAAGACCCTATGTCAAAAATAACCGGCAAAGCACAGGGCTAGAGTCATGGCTCAAGTAGTGAAGCACCAGCCTAGCAGGTGTGAGATCCTAAATTCACACCCCAGAACTTCTGAGAAAGACCCACCTGGGTCTCAGGCCCAGAAGGTGGAGAGACCTGCGGGCAGTGGTGTGACTCCTGAGGACTGCCCTGACCCCTGCATGGACGTGGGCTTGGCCTTCCTCCTCCCAGAGGAGAACACTGGGCCACAGAGGGCTGAACGAGGGCTGGGCACAGGAGCATGCCCGCTGCAGTGCACCAGCCACAGCCCTGATGCCTGAGCCTCAGTTTCCCCATCTGTAGAGGGAGGAGTGCCTGTGACTAGTGTCTGTAACCCAAACACCCATACAGAAGCCCCATCAGGGGCCACAGCAGGCAAGGGCCAAATCAGGGAGGTGTTGGCAGCCAGAGGGACAGGACAGGTGAAGATCACAGAGGGTTAGGGAGGCCTGGTCACAGTGGGGGCGGGCCCCTCCCAGGCCCCTCCCTCCCACCTTATTGTGCTGAATGAGGTCTCACTAACTTTTTGCCCAAGCTGGCCTCCAGCCTCTATCCTCTTAGTTTCTGCCCTGAGTAGCTGGGATCGTACGTGTGTGCCACTATGCCTAGCTGGAGTTTCTTGACTCAACAATGTCTGGGGCCTAGCGTTTTCCCTCGTGCTGTAGCCTGGCTTGGTGAAAGAGGAAAGCACAGAAACGCTGCTCCTCAAGCCTGTGAGGCCATCGCCCACCTCACCCGGCCCGGCTTGTTTTTCTGTTCTTCTTTTGTTGTTTGTGGGGCTTGAGCAGTGTCTCTGAACTCTTTTGCTCAGGGCTAGCACTCTATCACTCTGAGCCACAACGCCACTTCTGATTTTCTGGTGGTTCATTGGAGATAAAAGACTCACTGACTTTCCTGCTGGGCTGGCTTTGAACCATGATCCTCAGGTCTCAGCCTCCTGAGTTGCTGGGAAGACAGGCGTGAGCCACTGGCTCCTGGCTCCAGCTCTGCTTCTTGCTGTGGCCAGTCACAGATGTCTGGTGTGGTCGCTGGATCCATGGTGCACACTGGGCGCTTTGTGGCCGACCATCACTGACCATCTCCAGGCCCTCCCTGCCCAGAGCAGCGGAGTCCAGAGGACGCCGCTGGGTCGGTGCTGGGCCCCGAGCTCAGGCTGAGGCCGAAGGCTGCTTGTCCTGTGCGCGGTCAGAAAAGATGGCATCTCAAAATGGGGCAGTGTGTGCAGGCTGTGCTGGTCTGTGAGCGCTGCGGTGTCTAAAGAAATGCAGTGCGGGGGCTCCGCGCCATCCTGGGCCAAATAAAGACATTTCTTAGAAAACACCACCTGTCACTGTTGCTGCAACCAGGGAAGGGACAGTCCAAGAAGGGGACAGACCCCCACAAGGCCCTCTCTACTGCCCTCGGCCCCAGCCGTGGGTGGGAGCCACTGAGGGGTGGGCAGGGCACAGCGGGAGAGGGGAGGCCGGCAGAGCCAGCCAGCCTGGCTCCGGCTCCAGCCCCAGCTCCGGCCCCGGCTCTGGCCCGGCTTTGGCTCCAGCTCCAGCGCCGTGCTCTCCCGCGGAGAGGCCCAGGCCCCAGGCTTCTGGGGAAGGCAGACCCGTGTCTGGCACATGGCGCCTCCAGCCCTTGGAAGGGTGGCCAGAGCATGGCGTGGGGGGCGGCCAGCGCCTTGGTGCCCGCTCCTGCGGCTCAGCCAAGCACAGAGCAGGAGGGAGGCTCCACTGCGGCTAGGCTGCGGCCCGCGGGCACCCTGGGTGGTGCCCGCCGCCTGGCCAGGCCGGGCTTCGTGTCTGCTGGGCCCATCCAGGCCCTTCCAGAGCAGCCCCTCTTGCCACGCCCGGACCCCGTTCCACAACGGGGACGGTGAGTCTGGGGCCTCCACACCCCAGACGCCGGGCGCTGGGGAGCTCTTCATACACCGAGGAGGGGTGTCAGGCTCTCCGCAGCCACGCGGAGGCCGCCCGGGCAAGGCCCTGCACCCCGCCAAGCTGTTGACACGGACGGCTCCAGCCGCCTTATTTATTATCTGATAAAGCGCTCTCGGCCGCCGTGGATGGTGGCGTCTGGCCACACTGGGGCCGGCGGCCCGGGGAGGAGGGAGGCTGTGGGGACCAGGCTGAGCCGTGGGCGCCCCTCAGGCCAGGCCTCCACCCTGATGGGGCGGGCGCATGAAGAGCCTTGTCTGTTCCCATTCTCACCCTCCGCCTTTCTTCTCCTGTGCCCCAACAGCCACCCAGATAAAGCTAGTCTCTCCTGCCCGGGCTGGCTTTGAACAGCGATCCTTAGATCTCAGCCTCCTGAGTAGCTAGGATTACAGGCATGAGCCACCAGTGCCCGGCCCCAGGACCTTTATTTCTGGTCACTTTGAAGGCTTGAACTCAGGGCCTGGCTGCTGTCCCTGAGCATTTTTGCTCAAGGTTAGCGCTCTGCCACTTTGAGCCACTTCTAGTTTTCTGGTGATTAATTGGAGATGAGTCTCCCAAGCCATGCACCAATGGCTCATGCCTATAATCCTAGCTACTCAGGAGGCTGAGATCTGAGGATCACAGTTCAAAGCTAGCCAGGACAGACAGGAAAGTCCCAAGCCGTGCACCAATGGCTCATGCCTATAATCCTAGCTACTCAGGAGGCTGAGATCTGAGGATCACAGTTCAAAGCTAGCCAGGACAGACAGGAAAGTCCATGAGACTCTTATTTCCAATGAACCACCAGAAAATCAGAAGTGGTGCTGTGGCTCAAGTGGTAGAGCATTTGCCTTGAGCTGAAGAACGGAGGGATACCACCCAGGCTCTGAATTCAAGTCCCATGACAGACCAAAAAAAAAAAAAAAGTCTTCTAGACTTTACTGCTCAGGCTGACTTTACACTATGATCCTCAGATCTCAGTCTCCTGAGTAGCTAGAATGACAGGCATGAGCCACCGGCACCCGGATTCCGGGACCTTTTTTAAGGACGTCCTTACATTTTGAGGAAGGTCCCAGGAGGGGCTGACTGGAGCGGCCACCACAGCCCTGAGCTCGGTCTCCTCCTCTGCAGGGTGCTCCTGGCAGCTGGGGCTGTGCGCACCCGGCCAGCTCTGAGATGCCCTCAGTCCTCATCCCTGTTCCCGTCCCGGCTGCCCCTGAAGCTGGGCCTGGTCCTGCCGCGGGTGCGGGGGACGGCGGCAGCCTCAGATGCAGCTCCTCGGGGTACAGGGCTGCTCACGAGCCCTCGGGCACAGCCAGCCAGCTACACCCACCCCTCACTGCCTCACCGCTGCCTGAGGATGCCCCGTTCCAGCTCAGCCCTGCCTGGATCCCGGAATCGCTGCTTGCTCCCCCTGCATCTCTCCCATGAGCAAACAGTGGGGATTCAGTAAAGACCCATCCTGTGCCGTGGACGGCCTGCGTGGGGACGCACGCAAGAGCCCTCC